ATGGGGTGAGCATAAGTTGACAGGCAAATGGAAGGCATACATACATGAAGGAATGCTCACTGATGGACCTATTCCTTCTCTATGGAATCATCTGTGTGGACAGCGGACTAGTTGCATTGTCTGCATGCTGCCCAAAGAATGAGGCTAAACTGGAGTTTTGGTGAAACTCTGAAGCATTCCCCAAATTTCACTAACATGGGGCTAAACTGGCATTAAAATCAAAGTCTCTTGTGTTGTCTAACCTTTGGTCCACTTCAGACTTTTGTGCTTGTGCAGACAAGATATATGCCCCCAAATGACAGAACATGGGTAACTGTTACCAAGGTTTTCAAAATTTGTTGTTTTATTTATAACATGCAAACCTATTCCAGACCCCTTCATAAAAATGCAGAGCTCAGCTGCCTTTAGGCATGTGTCACAATGGAAGATTTGATTGACAATGTTTAACTATGCTATGGGTATGTATCATTGCTTTCTTATCACAAGATTTAGAAGCAATGTTGTCTTTTAACACTATCAAGAAGGACCTTCTCAGGACATAGTTTTTACTCTTCTCTACATGGTATGTAAACTTTTTTTAGCTTAACATTGATTGATTTATTGATTTCATTTGATTTGATATATATCCCACTTTCCTTCCAATGAATGTGCCCTAAATTGCCATCTTCAGCATTGTAAAATAAATGTAAACGATTACCTTCACTATGGGTTTTTGTCTCTTTCTTGAAACAGTTACATAACTGACATTGCTTCCTCTTCTTGCTTCATCTATTAATGGGGATGAAATGCTACCTCTAGGCAATAGGAGTGAATCAACACCCCTGAGAACTCTTACGGGAATTTCATCTTGTCTTCTTTTCACTCAGAGTGCCTATTCCAGTATTCCATTTTCACATATAACATCAAACTAAGCAGCAGTAAATCTTACAAAACCTTAATCTCGACATTTCATCTAGATGGACAATGAGCCTAGTGTTCCTCTTTGGTATGCATACTAATTCCCTGACTTATATTTGCTTAACACCACTCATGTTTTATAGCAGCATTTCTCAGCCAAAAATCAAGAACAAGTTGTCTATACCAAGCTAACACAGAGATTAAAGTCTGCCTAACTTTGCCCCTGTGCATATACAAATCTCTATATTGTGGAAATACTAGAATACATCATGTAGTTCTAATCAACTTATCATAAAGAAGAAGTTGTTTAGTTGTGAAAAGTACAGAAAAGTACAACCAAGATAGTCAACAGATTAGAGCATAGATCTTACAAAAAAAGGCCACCTGACTGCTACAAATTTGATGCAAAACACAGTATAATAATATAACTACAAAAGTAACTAACATTTACAATTACCACACAAAGTGAATGAAACTATCACTCACTGAGTTACAAGCATAATAAAATGTAATCTTACATTGGTTATTAGAAAAAAAGAATCACAAATATATATATTTTTAACTAATTACTTTCAAATCTGGTATAAATATGATAATACAATGATATCATGGCTAATAACGTTCATTTTTCAATATGCTGTTCACAAAACTGTTCCAATAATCTTTCTATTCCTAATAGCAGATACAGATCACCAACCTTTTCCAAAATTGATATTGGTAATTTTTATAGTGTATGGCAAGAGAATTGGACAAGGACATTCCTAATATTTAATAGGCTTTAACATTTGGAATATCTGGGACAACAAAAACACATCCGTAGACATCTCCAAGGTCATGTGGCCGGAATGACTGCATGGAGCGCTGTTATCTTCCCGCCGGAGCGGTACCTATTGATCTACTCAGATGTGCATGTTTTCAAACTGCTAGGTTGGCAGAAGCTGGGGCTGAGACTGGGAGTCCACGGATTTGAACCTGCAGCCTTTTGGTTAACAAGTTCAGCAGCTCAGTGCTTTAACCCACTGCGCCACTGGGGGCTCCCGAACAGAGTAGCTTGTTGTAAAAATGAGGATTTTGACCAACAAAGAATTGTCCTTTGCCACTTTAAGATTTCAAAATCAAGTTGTCCATGTTCAGGTTGCTTTATGAAAACCTAGTGAACTTCCAACGCATATAATTATGTTTTCATCTTTAAAATGTTTAACTCTAAGCAGGTCAATGAAAGAGCCCACCAACAGAAGCAGAGGAAACAAGTAATATAAAATGAATTCAGTTGATAAAACAAAATTACAGTAATGACCACCCATAGAATTAGTCAACACCATAGGAGGAAAAGCATACAATTACCATATACAAACACTCAGTCCAATATATGTGTATGATTAGATTGGACTGAAGAGCAAAAGTACACGTCTTCTGAATCCAAGCCAATGGAACGATAACTGGAGTTTATTCTGTTTTGTGATACATGCACACACAGAGTGCATTCCCTGAGTAGGATATGCATTATCTCCTTGCTCTATATACCACAAAATGCACTATTGGTGCTCAATAAATGCTTAGTGTATCGGCAGCTGCATCATAAGTAACATTTTTGATCCCACTGGATAATCTTCATGTGAGCCGAAGCTGAGGTGCAATGTGTTCAGCACTTTTCTCCGGTAAGATCTTACCAATATGCTAAATTCAGGAGAGATTGACTGACTTTAATGTTAGGGGAAACAAATGGAAGTGGAAAATAGGAGAAACAGATAAGCCCTTGCTGGGGAAAAAGTTCTGCTGCTAGGATGAAACACTGAACCTTGAGATGGTTTTAAGAAACTAATCTAGTTATGAATGCTTCGGTAACCATATTAGCACTGACTGCAAAGCGTTCTCTCATATCTCTCCTTTCCTCAGCCAGCGCTGCTCCCATCAAGATGCACCTATCCAACGTAAAATTGGAGTCAATAAAGGGAGGACAGAGAGAGAGAGAAAACGCGAGGGCAACAGAGACATGGTTTCAGTTGCTGACTGACAACACTGCCATCCTTTAACATGGTTTTATTTAGTTATTACAACCATCTCTCTGTAAATGACACTTAGGATTATTTAAGATTATGTTGTAATCCTTTTAATCCCCAGTGCTTTAAATTTCAGGCTCAACACCAAAGAGCAAACTAGCACTTAGCGGAAATGTTTAAAGCATGTGATTTGAACATAAATCTTCTTTCATTCACTACTCTTCTGATGAAGACCTAGTATAACGTGTCAGTTTGCCAGGGAGACGAGAATGATATCTGGCCGCAAATAGCTCCATGTGCTCATAGGGCCCTGTGAAGCTGCTTTAAACCATGTTCTCCTTTCATATTCTTTATTGTCAACAAAAAAACAGACATTCATAAGGCAAGAAAGGTTGCAAATACTTCAAGGTGAGATGGTGGGACACAATGACACTGAAGGCTCATGCTGCACACAAACAATTCGTATCTGAGATCCCGCAAACAGTTATAGGACATACAGCTCATTTCCTTTTATTTCTACAAAAACCAGGTAGTAATGCAACCAATGCTCTCAACACATAATTTCTTAAGAAGCAGATACAGATAATATTGGTCTGATGTGAGATAGTAAATATGAAGTTTCCATAACATTGGGTAGATTTGGGATACAGTTTAAAAGCTTATTATTTCCTTGTTCATGATTCTAATTCAGGATTGTTCTCAGGCCTGCACTCTTTTATCCTCATGGAGATTCATGGCCCTCCTTAACGGATTCACTAAATTCATTGTTCTATGAACTTTTTAAAATCACTGACAACATATTTCAGTAGTTTTGTACCCAAAAGCCTAATACATCTGTTTGATCATTTAACTTGTAGTGTGACAAAGGACCAAGGCATCATCAGTTATTGGCTTGGTATCCTTTTAAAAAGAAAACCAAAATAGTATCATAAAATCATAGAATCCTTAAGTTTGAAGAGACCTCATGGGCCATCTAGTCCAACCCCCTACCAAGAAACAGGAAAATCGCATTCAAAGCACCCCAACCAATAACAGAAAGTTCACAGATAACATATTATAATTTCAGCTCAGGTATTAAAGTTGCATTGCTGAATACAAAATGGCTGCTGATATAAAAGTATGAGAACCTACCTGGATAGACACATATATTTTTTTTGTGACAGTGTCCCGTCCCCCCCAAATGCATGCACACCATATCCCAGAACAAAGTATCTTCCAGGGTATAAAGGAAGACAAATATGGTGAATGTAAAGCACCCACTGATTGCCAATGTGGGACTCTCAGACCTTCCTCAAATTCGCAGGGCCACCTTGTAGTTTCCACTACCCTGTTGTCAGTATTGATTAATGGTTATTTATATTTACATGAGAGTAGATCTCAGTAATGCATGTCCAATTAAATCCATTATTTCTGATTTGGCACTCAAAGCATTGTGATGAAAAATTCTATCCTCTCTACAATTATAGGATTTAACTTCTGTTGTGATCACCATGTTTGGTTATCAGCTTATAAGCAACTTCATTAAAATATCTATATTCATTAAAATTATTAGACTGTAGAAAATGCATAGGCTTTTGAACTGAGTTCTGAGAGATTCAGGGCTGTTGTTTTTTCCCCTCCCTTTCCCCATCTTTATACCTCTTTCCTCTGGAATAAACCTGTCATTAAAGCTGTAAGAAATAATAAAAATAAACAGGCAAATTCCACTCAGTTGGGAGTTTAGCTTATGTACGCAGCATGTGAAAGTTCTGTTTTCAGGAGTTCATGAGGTCAAGGATCCCAGTCTTAAACCCAAAACAAATTACCTAGCCATTTAAAAAAATAAATTGAATGTGGCACATTAATCAGTAAATCAACAGGTTCTCAAGGGTTTTTAGTCAATTCAATCATCAAGTCACTTTAACCCAAAAAAAGAAATAGGAGAGTGGATAAAACATTATGCTTTCAAATGGCCTTAACAAACAAACTACAAACATTGTCTTGGCACAGCATGGAGTTATTAAACAGCTAAAGGAAAGAAATCCCTGCTTGCTTAGTATGGTTGCAAACTTAGTGTGCTGATCTAGTCAAAGAACACCGGGGCCATTGTAAACCATCTCTTACCTGGAAGACATTCTTTTTGCTAGATTTCTCTGTAGTCCATTCAATGTGAGCTCCACACAGATCCACCCATTCAGGTTTGTACCCCGGTTTCTTAGAAGAACAACAACAACAATAAAAAAATTAGCATGAACCGATCATAGGAAAGTAGTCATCTGCTAAAATGAGAGTAGGTTGGATTTGACTGGGGCAAGTGCTGTCACCAAATGTCCAGATGCAACTGTTCATATACAAGGCATTTGTTTTTTTAAGATCAGGATCAGAAACTTTTCCACTGATGTTGGAGCTGCTGGTGTTTGATAGGACAAATGCATCTATGAGTCCCCTCCGGGGTGATAAAAATGGGGTAGAAATGTTGTAAATAATAAATAATAAACAAATCTACAGAAACTGGTCACTTGTTCATTCAAGTTGTCAGGTCACGATTCCTTTGAAATTAGCAGTATGCCTCGTGAGAGATATACCATATTGGGGAAAATCACGGATGCTTTCCTTGTCTCCTGCCAAGTTTATGAAACAATATTCAGCATTGAGGCACTAATCAGAGAATAACAGTTCAGACTAAAAACAATATCTAATATTAATTACAACTTAGCACAATTCTGGTCTTTATGAATGGCACAGATTCTTTATATACACATTTAAAGGCTAGATAGTGAACTTGAGGAAGAGAAACGGCCCACAACTCATACTCCAGTAAAAAGTATGGTCCTCCTAAGTAGTATACAGATGACTTAATTCCTACAATATATTTTTATCCATGCAAGTAGTCTAAGTATCATAAACAACAGTGTTGTATACAACAGGCTTCACACACTCAACGTTTTTCCCCTATTTTACCAAGTTGGCTCATTCCTCAAATGTGGAGGTTCTTCTGCAGTTACTGAATAGTGTTGAAAATAAGAAATACAACTCAGGCATTTTAGACACCATTTGTCCTTTCTCTGCTTCATCTGGAATCTCTCATACGTATCCTTCAGTAAGGACTTCTTCCAACATTTTGTGTCCTTGGTTTGTGTTCCTCAGTCAGGCCAATTATGTTCTATCAGAGCCAATGGAAGAGCTTGTAAATTGCTACAAGTAAGTGCCTGTATAATGGAAACTTGTACTACATGAATATGGATTCAGAAGACATTTTCACTTAACAAATTAATTTGAAGATGAGCTAATAACCTGAGGTAAAACACCCTTTTCAGAATACATTCTCTGGAGGGTGAAAAATGCATAGCAGACTCGCACTTTACGTCAAAATGGAGATTTGTTCCAAAAGACATTTTCCTTGCAGACCATTGCGGACAACTTAATCTAAATGATACATAACGGCAGAGTATTTCATATCCCAGTAAGATCAGCTTGAGATAAAATAAAAGAATACACAGCTGAAATAAATGCAATATTCAATATGTTTCGGATATTTGTTTCTGAGGCACTGATATGCAAACATAGTACACACCATTTCATTTTAGACATCTGTGACCTGATCCTGAAAGCTGCTCTTCCAGGAAGCAAGGGCACAATACTGTTGACCCCATGGGATGTCAAATCTATAGCCTTGTGTTCCAGCCAAGAGCAAAGCTGTTGGGTTAATGTTATGATGCCAGGAATAGTCAGCATCGCCAGATATAAGAGATACAGGCTTTCCATAAGAGCCAAACAGAAGCAGAAGGAGAAGCAATACATGATAAGAATGTTAAAATGTACATTATTTTGCATATCCCGGTGGCGCAGTGGGTTAAACCACTGAGCTGCTGAGCTTGTTGCCAAAAGGTTGCAGGTTCGAATCCAGGGAGCGGTATGAGCTTCCGCTGTCAGCCCCAGTTTCTGCCAACCTAGCAGTTTGAAAACATGCAAATGTGAGTAGATCAATAGGTACTGCTCCGGTGGAAGGTAACGGCACTCCATGCAGTCATGCTGGCTACATGACCTTGGAGATGCCTACAGACAACGCCGGCTCTTCAGCTTAGAAATGGAGATGAGCACCAACCCCCAGAGTTGGACACGACTGGACTTAAATGCAGGAGAAAACCTTTACCTATCCACTAGTCCTGCCACCTGTCACAAAGTGTATTGCTACAACCTTGATTTGCATATGTATCTGATTTGTACTAGGATGTGGAATGCCCTTCCTATAGATATCAGATCGGCCCCATCCCTATTGGCGTTTCGGAGGAAAGTGAAAACCTGGCTGTTCGAACAAGCATTCGATTAAGCAGTGTAATGAATATAGGAACACGGATTAACGGATGATGAGATTGGATTCTGATTTTACTGATGAGACGCTAATGATTGTTATATTGATGTTTAATTGTTGATGATGCTATTGTTTTAACTGTCCCATAATCGTTTTATAATGTTTTGCATTGAATTTTGCTGTTGTTAACCGCTTTGAGTCGCCTGAGGACTGAGAAAAGCGGTATATAAATGAAGTAAATAAATAAATATATAATAATTAAATAAATGACAATCACCATTATTGAATTACCTCAATTGTGTCCCAAAGCTATATCAGTGCTGGGTACCCTTTTGCAAGCACAACCATGTGTGGGATCTGGATCGAGATATTTACACTCTTTCTTCATACTATCTCAATCATTTCAGAAGGATTAGTCTGTCTAAAGTTAACATTTGCCCATTGCTCCATCTGTGCATGTTCACACAAAGCTATGTCCAGGTTCTAAAACTTTCTAGATTGGGTTGTAATAGGATGATTTGTGGAACAATACATAGTATTTCAGCTAGCTTCAAGTCACCTGTGTCTGTGTCTGTGTGTGTACACACACACACATCCTGAATTAGTTTTTAACTTGAAACCTCTATCTAAAGCTACTCCATGGAACAATTTTCTCCACTATATATTCTGATGATCTGTATATGCTCATTATTTTAAGTGTTTTGAAAGGCTGCTATATTCTAGCCATAGCTCTGTACCTAACAGAATCTCATGGTTGTCCAATCATGCTTGGTTTCATTAGAACTACAGATGTAAACCCCCACTTATTTTGTGAAGCAAAAATATCATGCAAAATTATTTTTATTATTATTATTTTGCAAAAATATTGGGGGTGGGGGCAATTTGCCTCCTCTGACAGGACAGACTTTGGAAAATAGGTGTGGGTGGCGTTGGTGCGCAGCCTACCCCTGGAACTCATTCGCTGACCCTCCCTCTCTCCCTCCCTCCCTCCCACCTGCTTAACAGTATAATTGTCAGGGAGGAATTTTTCCCCTGTATATTCTAGCGGGGGGGGGGGGGGGGGGGGGGGAATTCACCTATCTTATACTGTTATACTGTTTTCAAATGGGCAGATTGGGATGGGTTTACATGTTGGTGTATACCTAAGAAACCCCTTTGTGGTGTAGGCCAGGATCCCTCACTTGTGGTTTAAATAACTGAGGTGAATCCTTTGAGTATGGAGAGTTCTGGCCTCAAAAAATCCTACTGAGTAGGGTCAGAATTCTACATTACACTTCCTTGATCAGTCACCCTGGAAACAATACTGTTTATTACATCTGGGTACCCAGGTGTTTCACCCAAGCTAGTTGAGGAGTAGGTTTTAGGTGGCCACCAGCTTGGCATAGGTGGCTACTGTCTCACACCAAATTCATACCCCTTTAGAAATGTTTTGCAAGTCACAAAAGTTTAAATAAGTAACATTAATAAAAGTTTCCCATAGTTAATCCCATATTGTTGTGTGGTCTCATAATTTCAGGGGTTGGATGGCAAATGATTATATGAAAATCTAGGTTGCAAGATGGCATATATCTTTCACTGAATGACAATGCTGGATCAAATCCATTACCATCTTATTTACTGATAGATGGAAATGGTCAAGATGGGTAATACTGGCCTTCTGTTTGGAATGGTGGACATATAAACATTTTTCTTTCCAAAAAGTAGTTGAGTTGTCAAATCTGATTATGCTTATTCTATGCTCATTGGTTATGCTTATGGAAGTCCAGCCTTAGGGAAGGATCTTTCCTTGACTTTTTCTGGTAGTGCTTTCATTGCTATAGTTTTGAGCATAAGCTTCATATGTGAAGTTTATTCCTGCATACAGGACATGTATGTATCATATTCTCAATGGTACACTGGAAAATAATAAAAAAACAATATTGCTGGAGTTCGTACATAAAATAATATATCATTTTGTTTTATTATAATTCTATATATTAAAATAACTATTAGAATATACTTCCCTCCACAATTCTGGAATGAAAGTATTCAAGCAGTTTTGTTTCATATTCTGTATTCTTTTAAAATGGTCATTTTCTACGCAGCTCTTAATCAAGGATTAATGAATTAATATGTTTGTGTTTTAAGAGTATATTCATCTTTTTGGTAAATTACATCATTTGCTTGCTAAAATAAGTTTGCTATGTTATTAAATTCATACTACAATGAACGAACATTGCCTTCATTACATTACTGGATTAATGGTTGAATTCTTCCATTCTCTAAAGTAAACAATACTTGAAAGTAAAATCAGTAAACAAATAATTTTTAATGAAATCACATGTGTACATGTACTTCTGTTGCTGCTGTCAACAATTATAGCAGGGTGAATGGTTTGTTGAAAACATCACATTAGTTGCATCAGAAACAAATCAGCTTTCCTCCATAGAATTTTCTTAACTAAAGTACTTTTATCCCCTGATTGCTATTCCTGGGACTCAGGGAGAATTCTGTGTTTTACATTATTAACAGAGGTATTTTGGCAATGAGAGAATTCAGCCTTTAATGAAATAATATAACGAGCCCATGTTTTGGAGCAAAAACCCAATCCTGCAGCACAGTATACAGAGACTCTGTTGAGTGATTGACCTACTCCTGATAGAACTCTATATATCATTGTTTCTATTCCCACAAAGAACTGAAATTGTCAGTAAGGCCTACACTCATATCCATTTTTTTCTTTTTTTCTGGTAGCTGTTTGCACTATGTAACAGAAGTATTCCAAGTCCTGGCCTTCCAGATGTTTTGGATTTCATTCTCCAGAATCCCTATCAACCATGTTGGCTGCTACATCTGGAATTGAAGTCCCTAGCTCCCGGAGGGCCGAAGGTTGAAAACCATCACTCTTCCTCTCCCTGGTAGTGGCCAGGAGCTCTCCTAGAGAGCTATGGACATAGTAGTAGTGATGTTGACACCTTAGGTATGGTGACCCTCCTGTGGGGCTGAATCTATTTTGGCACCACTGGACAATGTGAACTCTGTCCCACTATTGCTGTGGGATGGAGAAGGACAGTGTAGTCATCTCTGGAACTGATTGGAGTATTGCAATTCCGGATCAGCCCTGGATTAAAAGATATGTGTAGATATGGCCTCCCACTCTGGGGCTTTGGTCTTCTCCAGTGTTTATTTATGACTGCCACTATGATGAAACATGTTGTCCCAAAATTGAATTAACCCCTTTCAAGTGAGCCCAGAAAAAGGCAGTAAAATTAATTCTAGAATAAGAATATGTGGGTGTGTATTGTGCATTTAACATATGAATTATCCTGAACTAAACAATATAATTTGAATGTGGGAAAGTGAATAATATTAAATTTTCTTGAAGGAAATCCTTGAAAAAATTGTATTTCTTGTAATGCAAGATTGTCTACTCTCTTAGTCCTGCTACGTTAAGACTGCGAGAAAAATAGATAACTGATGACTGGGTGAAAAAACAGTGTCATTCCTAATGTGCTCAGAAGAGTTTCTACATTATTATTGCTGGATAGGAAAAATTTATGGCTACTGAGTCACGATATAATTTTTGGACCCTTCCAAGCCATGTATATTTTATTCATATCTGTTCTGATTATTTCCAGTTTTATTTGCCTATCCAAACCTTACAGCAACAAAAGAGTTTCTGCAAGTGCCCCCCTGAGCACTAGATTCCAAGATATTTCCAGTTCAATACATATTTAATTAATATCCTTGTTTAAAAATTAAAAGAACATGCCATCTTACTACTGTAACATATTATCAGTAAGAGATATGTGACATGTTTCTCTCCCCCTTTCTTTCCTTCAACAAACCATTAAAGGAGATGGACAAATTGCCCTTTGGCTAACAATACCAAAGGCACAAACTAATAACAAGAAAAGAAACAAACAGTGTGTATGGGGAAGCAGAGGTCAGAGCTCCATATCACCTACCATATCGAAATTTATTTATTGTTTCTGACTCCTGTCACATAGTGCACCTTTTTGGTCACCCATCAAACCAATATAGTTTGGCAGGTTTGATCAAGCCTTGGGATGCCATCACAATAGGACTCTGTCAAACCTGTCCCTGTTCAGTGTGGAGTGTCACAAATTTATAGATTTCTGTTTTTCGAAGTCCAGAGAAGTGGAGGTTCTATATTTGCAGAAACTAGCACTGAAGGAAAACATGCCATGATTATTTGTACAACGCATCTGTCACATCTGTGAAGCCTACAGTCGGTGGCCTTTCCTTGAGGCACATCTTTTTTTCAAAAAAAAGTATGGTGAATTCTGCTTTGAGGTGCATTAACCATATTAGATAGCATCGTAAGGAATATTCAGGAAATGTTAGGCAGCTATAGTAGATGTCACGTTTATATGAAGATAAAAATCACTTTGCTAACTTACAGTGGTTTGCTCTTTGGTTACACCCCATATTAAGGTGCCATTTATAACTACTTTATTATTATTTATGATATGCAAGCCACTTTATAGCAAGCTCAATAGCAACTTAAATTCATGTATTAAAGATGCACACACAGGGTTTAATACAATTTACATCTTATAATATCCTTTGTAACAGATTCTCATCGCATCATCTGTTAAGCATTTATTACTAATGCATTTTATAACATACTTTATAATACATTATTTGAGGAAGTAGTTGCATTTAGAGATCATTTCATAAATAAGAATAAAGCATTTATAACTGGCACCTTAATTTAAAGCGTTACCTCCACATTACGAGAGAGCCACTCACCATCCGTCTCACTTTGCAATTATTCTCAAAAAGCACCTCTTAATAAAAGATATGCTGAGTTCTATTTCCCCTCCTCTCTCATCTGATTAAAAGTTTATTGAGTCATTTTCTTACATCTGCTCTCAGAAGTCGGAGCTTTAACAGCACTGAGAGGGTTTGTGGCTTTCTCTCTCTCTCTCTCTTTTGATGATGCCAAACTTTTTATTCAATAACATTTCTGAAAAAGGATGAGACATGGGAAGATAGTTGCTTACCAGATTGGCCACAGCTGGCTGTTTGGATTCTTTGTAAAATTCTATTTTCCGACCCGTGAGAACGAGCCAAGAAGTAGCCCAGGTTTTCCTTTGAAGGAATAGAAACATAAAAATGAATTGAGCAATTAAACAAATGCCATTTATTTTGTGGTGACAGATGAATTTCATTTTGCAGGCCAAGGTGCCTAATAGTTTATGAATTGTATAGGGAGCATGTGTTTTTCTTAGATGCCTTCAAATTGATTTCAATTTATGCCAACCTTACAAAAGGTTTTTTTTTAGCAAGGACAATCCTGCTTTAGCAAAGGATTTTCCCTGCCTTCCTCAAAAGTTGAGAGTGTCTGACTTGCCTGAGGCCACTCAATAGGATTCTCGGGGAAGAAGGGATTCAACCTTCAACATTCCATGCTGACTCAGGCATTCATTTATGCCATGCTCCATAGGTCAGAGACATGGACAGAAGAGAAGGATGTGAAAACCGAAAAGCAAGTATTCAGAAACATTTTTGATCTGGAAAAAGTTAAGATATCAGATAAAGGTTTCTACTGGAGCTATAATGCATGTGGTGGGATGATGATAAATAATAATAATAATAATAATAATAATAATAATAATAATAGAACTTATGTCACAAGCACCACCTGCCAGCAGTAAAGAATTGGTGGGATCATAAACCCGCAAAGGTTGTGGAAAATGAACATGCAAAAATACTGTTGGACTTTTGAATCCAAACTAACAAAGTTTTGGAACACAATACACCAGACATCATGATTGTAGAAAAGAAAAAAGTCTGGATTATTGATGTCGTCATACCAGGTAACAGCCGCATTGAGGAAAAACAAAAGGAAAAACTCAGCCACTATCAAGACCTCAAAATCAAACTGCAAAGGCTCTGGCATAAACCGGTACAGGTGGTTCCAGTGGTCATTGGCACACTGGGTGCCATGCCAAAAGATCTCAGCTGGCATTTGGAAACAATAAACATTGACAAAATCGCGATCTGTCAACTGCAAAAGGCCACCTTGCATGGATCTGCACGCATCACACAGTCCTAGGTGTTTGGGAAGTGTTTGACTTGTGATTTCTTGATACAAAATCCAGCATATAGATCTCGTTTGCAGTGACCTATTGTGCTTTTGTGCCAGTAAAATAACAACTTTATTCTTGTATTCCACCACCATCTGCCCGGAGGGACTCGGAGCAGCTTACATATGGCACAAGGTGCCTTAAAAACAGAACATACACAATACAATTGAATAACACATATAGGCATATAAGACAACAACTTAAAACTAAATCAAAAAAGCACTACTCAACCAATGGTGGTAAGCTACGGTGGACATGGCCAAGCTGTAAACAATAGGACAAGAGAATGGGATAAGCGTAAAGACGTAACCATGGATGGAGGTTATGGGATAACTATTGTGTAGAACAACTAGAGACTAGACATTCTCAAAAGTTTGTTTGAACAGCCAGGTCTTAGGGTCTCTACAGAAGGAGCACAGTGTGGGGGACTGCCTAATCTCCCTGGGGAGGGAATTCCAAAGCTGGAGGGCCATCACTGAGAAGGCCTTCTCCGTTGTCCTTACCAACCATACTTGTGACGGTGGTGGGACCAAGAGGAGGGCCTCCCCAGCAGGTCTTAGAGCATGGCGGGGGGAGATGCGGTCATGAAGATAGGCAAGATCCAAACTGGATCATTACCATAGATTAATAAGAAAGTGTTTTCACTAGTAAACTGTCCAAATTTCAAACTAAAGAAGCTCTGAAAATGTAGGTGCAAATGCTACTAAAATTCAAAATGTGTTTAATTAATGCTGATACAAGAACAATGAAGTGTAAATGTGGCAAGAAATTGATACAGAGATCTGAAGAATCATGTCTTCCTATATGAACCTCTTGGGCTCCTATGTCTTTGGGAAGGCACTTCTCTTAATTCTTCCACATTCAGAGGAATGTCTAATGGAAGCATAGGAAAGGGTCTTGTCAGTGACTGCTCCAAGGCTTAGGAACTCTCTTTCTAGGGAGGTGAGGATCTTTTCTTCTTAAAGTAGTGTTTTAATTCTATAAGCAATGTAACTGGATTTTAACAATAATGTAGTACATGTTGATTTATGTTTCCATGTATGCATTTATCTGTATTTGTTTTAATTTTCCTAATTTGGGTGGAAGGGTGGGATGTAAATGAGACGGTGGTGGTAGTTGTAGTGATGACGATAACAACAGAAGCAGAACTCAGTGGAATCCAAGGAAGCTAATGGAGAACAATTTGGGAGAAATTAACAAAAAGAAGCACTTGAATTCTGAAGCTTTGTATATTAGACTGAATTGGGGCTTCGAATACATTTTACCATTTTGTAAATTTCACTATTGTTTTTGTTTGTTTGTTTGTTCCAACTTCCTTATACTTTATAACAATCCAAAAGACTTAGGGTGTAATTTCAAGCATTTTATTCTGGTACAAAATTATTCATAGTAAGTACAAAACAGTTGTAACACCAACCAGTCAAAGGGGAGAAAAGGGTTCCCAGTTGGCCCATGTGAACCCATGAACCCTCAAAATCCACTCCAGAGAACTGGTGAACCCTAATAATAGGTGGGAGGTGTGGGGAGGGGAAAGGGAAGAGGGGAATAGCTAGCTTGTTAGATAGTCAAAAATAGATATTAGATTGATTGTTAAAAACATGGCAGCAGAAGCCCCACTGATTCTGGGGTGATGGTAACGTTATGGTCCCATCTAAGTTTGGTAGTATATGTTACTAATGATGTCTTAGACCATGAAGCAAAGGATTTTTCATGGTTAACAAACTTCTACTTGCTCTTTGACAAGTATCATTTTTTTCATGTCTTAAATCTGACTACTCTCCTCCGCAGGGCAGTAACACATCTGGCCGTCCCCTGGGCAACGTCTTTGTAGATAGCTGATTCTCTCACATCAGAAGTGATTTGCAGTATGCAATCAATCAATCAAACAAACAAACAGACCTTTTCAGAATCTACAGAGATACTAGCAGGAACACCTCAGCAAGTGGGCGTCCAGAAGTGGCAGGTAAAAACTTGGAATCTCAATCAGTGGTTGAGACCAAACGAGAAACTCCCTCCTGGACACACAGAAGACTGGGCAACTTGGAAGGTGCTGAGCAGACTGTGCTCTGGTACCATGAGATGTAAAGCCAATCTCAAGAAATGGGGCCTATAAAGTGGAGTCTACGACATGCAAGTGGAGAATAGAAAACCACAGACCACTTACTACAATGCAGTCTGAGCCCTGCCACATGCACAAGGGAGAACCTTCTTACAGTGACACCAGAGGCACTCGAAGTGGCCAGCTTCTGATCAAAGGAAATTTAACATAATGCCAAGTTTTTAACTTTCTTTGTGCTTTTTTATACATTATAACTGTATTCTCAATTTGCTTCTGACATGATAAATATTGCTTTCTGAAATCCTTGCATATACAGCAGTCCCCAAGTTATGAACAAGATAGGTTCTGTAGGTTTAGTCATGTTGAATTTGTATGTAAATTGGAACAGGTCCATTTTTTAAGTGTAACTCCAGCCAAATATCTACATTAGCCTTGGATAGCATAGAGAAGGGCTAATACCCCTGTGGTGTTTGTTTTGCTGTCTATGCCCCTGTTCAGAAGATTTCACTTCACTTTCTGTCCCTGTGAGAAGTGGATTATTGTATGCAAAAATCAATAGGTCAGTTGTTTAATGTTATTAATGTAAAAAGGTAAATTTTGTTAGACATAGTTCATTATACATAAAATTAAAAGGAGGCCTCATAGCCTCATTTTAATTTTCAGGGAGAAAGATGGCTCCGATATTGCCAGTCTATGTTAAAAGCATGTACTGGGTGTGAAAGGACTGGAAGTTTTAGGTGCAGAGCACTATGAGAGAAAGCAACATATAAAGAAAGGTGTATGTCACTCACATATATATTTTTAGGAAATACAGCTTTGCAAGTATTGTTCAATAGCAAGTGAGGTGTATTTGAAAAAAGAAAGGAACCCCAATGATAAGGATTAAACTCACTCCAGGAAATGAGATAATATTGCTGTTTCTCTGAAAAGAGATAATTTAATAATATATTTATAAGAAACAACGAAGAAACCATAAACTGCTGCATGAAAAAAATACAAAAAGGAGTAAAATATTGCCACTATTATAATTTTTTTAAAAAAGCCTATAAACTTTTTTTTAATGGCCTGCATAACTGTATCACATAGAAATCAACTTCCCAGCTGCTCTGTTAAGTGAAAGCTATGATTTTAGTACAGCCTACCACGGCCATTGTATTTGCATTCTAGCAAATGGACACCTGATGGCAGCACACTATAAGACCAATATGGTTTACATTCCTATATGTCCTTAAAGAAGTAGATGGTAAAAGTCTTGAAGGAGCAGATTAAGTTTTATAAAAATAATGACAACTTTGATTTACTTATGTTTGATCATATGAGCAGGAAATGGCAATCCAGGCATTCAGTCCATAAAGTTGACACAAACAATTGCTAACAGTCTTTAATATTGGCCTGCTATGAGATTATTTGACTTTTTCAAAAAAACAAAACAAAACAAAAACCATGAAATGGAGTTGTTTTTAAAGTAGGACTTTTAGTTAATATTTTTCAAATATGCCCTTCTGCTTCAGGCAATACTATGAGGTTTTCAGTTAAGGTTCATGTGTGACTGAACTGGCTTCAAACATCTAATCAACAATGAAACTAATTGAGTAAGTTTCCTTTTCTGTCTCACCTGCTTTCTTCCCTTACTCCATCCTATTTTGCAAGATTCAACATAGCTCTATGGCAATTTCTGGTGGAAGCATCCCACCTGTATGACCTTGAAAACTAGGGAGGGGATATTTTGCTGGATGCTGATGAGTGAAACTGTATTATCTAATAAAGCACTGCTTGACTATAAAGTAAAAAGTGGGCGCTAGAAACAATATCATACAAAAGCTGACTGGAACAACCTGGGGATCACAACCAGATACAATGAAGACATCTGCCCTTGTGGTTTGTTAGTTTGCTGCTGAGTACGCATGACCAGTATGGAATATATTTCACCACGTTAAAACAGTGGATGTGACTCTTATTGAGACATATGGCAATATCACAGGCTGTTTGCGCCCCACATCGCTGGAGAAATTATACTCTTTATCTGGTCTTGCACCACCTGATATCCATGGAGAAGTAGCAGTCAGCAATAAAAGTATCAAGGCATCTCTGGTATATCCTCTGTTTGGATATCAGCCGGCATGTCAATACCTTAAATCAAGAAACAGCTTCCTAAGATCCATAGAGATACTTACAGGAACATCTCAGCAAGCAAGAGTACAAAAGTGCCAGATTAAAAACCCAGAACCTAAATAAGTGGCTGATACCAGATGAGAAATGCCCTCTTGGGCACACATAAGACTGAGCAACTTGGAAGGCACTGAACAGACTGTGCTCTGGCACCATGAGATGCAGAGCCACTTTTAAGAAATGGGGCTAGAAAGTAGAGTCCATGACATGTGAGTGTGGAGAAGAGCAAACAACAGACAATTTACTACAATGCAACCTGAGCCCTGCAACATGCACAATGGAGGACCTTCTCACAGCAACACCAGAGGCACTTGAAGTGGCCAGTTTCTGGTCAAATGCCAGGTTTTTAACTTTGTGGGGTTTTTTATACGTTATAACTGTATTTTATACGTTATAACTGTATTGATCAGATCTTTGTCTAATAGACTACAAGTGCTTTATTAGATTTATTTATTTATCATGTCAGAAGCAAATTGAGAATCATAGAATCTATGTAGTTTGAAGCCACAGGGAGGAGGGTGCAAGCTTGTTCTCTGCTTCCTTGCAGACTAGAACGCGGAACAATGGCTTCAAACTACAAGAGAGGAGATTCCATCTGAACATGAGGAAGAACTTCCTGACTGTGAGAGCAGTTCAGCAGTGGAACTCTCTGCCCCGGAGTGTGGTGGAGGCTCCTTCTTTGGAAGCTTTTAAACAGGGGCTGGATGGCCATCTGTCAGGGGTGATTTGAATGCAATATTCCTACTTCTTGGCAGGGGGTTGGACTGGATGGCCCATGAGGTCTCTTCCAACTTTTTGATTCTATGATTCTCAATTTGCTTCTGACATGATAAATAAATAAATCTAATAAAGCACTTGTAGTCTATTTGACAAAGATCTGATCAATCCCACCCCCTATCTGATATGTTTTTATTAAGCCAAATGGACAAACCAGGCCAACATGAGGACTCATGAGTCTATATTTGGAGCAGTGGAGTACATGCACGGTGGCACATTCTTCTAAGACTTTCTCCTGCAGTTAGTGATCTGACTGCTGACTGCATCTCAACATACCAATCGTGTTCTGTTCACCCAAATGTAACACTTTAACGCAGGGCTAAACAACTTCAGTTGTTCTGGAGATGATTCCCCAAACCCCAAGACTCACTGCAGGCACAACTCCCTCATCATTATGCTGTTGAAGATTGGCTGACAATCCCACTGTTGACTTTCATTGGCAAACCAGAAAAGGCCATCATAAAAATCAGGAAGTGCTGGCATAATACTTTTTAGCAATTTGCCACCAAATCTCAACATCATGATTTGATGACAAATTTCAATGGCACACTTTTTTTTGGGGGGGGGGGGAGGCAGGAGCCACCAAAATGGCCTCAAGCCGCATGTGGCCTGCATGTAGTCCATTTTCCCTTTGATGGCAAGATTTTCCCTCTCTGGGTAAAACTGAGGTGATAAGACTCTCATGGGCTGCATCATCACTAGTAGTGTGAACTTGAACCAGTACTTTGTACCAGAGCAACTAGAAGAGAATACAGGTATATGGATCCAGACACTGAACTGCTGAGCTGAGATTGCATTGTGTTTTTTTTTAATCTGCTAATTCATTTCTCAAATCCCTTGATGTTTTTTTCTACATTCAAAAATCACTAATTACAAATGACATTTCTAGCTCTAGTTTGAAAAGCAATGATTTCCCTTCCTCTCAAATTAGGATCTGGGCAGAATGATCCATGTCTTTGCCACTGCCAATTTTAAGTCCTCTGCCTGAGGCTGAGAGCAGAAGTGGCACAAGAACTGCAGCTTGATAACACAGCACCTATTATAAAACCTAGGAAAAAGCAGCACAGATCTCCAGAATGTTTCTCATTGTAAAGAAGGATTTCTCAACCCTCAACATCTTTTCCAGTGGTTTTGGATTTCTACCACCAAGATGTTCCCAGCCAATGTAGTTTTCAACTTCAAGGAACTTTATTGGGTTGTGACTAACTTAAAATTATATGTGATGTTAGTGATTCTTTTCAGATTGTATATATACTGGGTTTTCTTTTTTTTTTCTTTCAAGTAGGAGTCCCCAAAGTATCTTTAAAGAGAAAAGTTGTATGAAGAAACGTTCATGTTTCTGTTCTCATTGACATCACTGGAGGGGGAAGAGGGGCGGGAAGGACTTTAGTATGAATGAACAATTTTGTTTTGTAAAAGCCTTTGTTATACATTATGCAACTCAATAAAAGAGAAGTATTGCACTGTGATAAATTCCTTTTTGTGACAACTCTCTAGATCAGCGGTTCTCAACCTGTGGGTTCCCAGATGTTTTGAGCTTCAACTTCCAGAAATCCTAACAGCTGGTAACCTGGCTGGGACTTTTGGAAGTGAAGGCCACAACACCTGGGGACCCACAGGTTGAGAAACACTGTGGTAGTAGAATGAATGACTTAGTACTATTGTGCATATTGAAATATTGCTTCATCATACCTTAGCTTCTTGCCTCCATCTGCAATTTTTGCTTTTAGAAGACATCCTTCTTTAATTATCTGAAATTAAAGCATAACAAGAATGTGCACACATTTTATTTTTATTTCTACACTTGTATAAAACTGATATACAACGAAATAAAGCATCCCCCCTCCCCGTTTATATAATTTTATCATATGTTCAAATGTATTTTAATATATACATGGAACTGCAGTTTGGGATATCCTAAATGTTCTGTACAGCCAGATAGAATCATAGAGTTAGAAGGGACCTCGTGAGCCATCCAGTCCAACCCCCTGCCAAGAAGCAGGAAAATTGCATTCAAAGCACTCCCGACAGATAGCTATCCAGCCTCTGTTTAAAAGCCTCCAAAGAAGGAGCCTCCATCACACTCTGGGGCAGAGAGTTCCACTGCCGAACGGCTCTCACCGTCAGGAAGTTCTTCCTAATGTTCTGATGGAATCCCCTTTCTTGTAGTTTGACATCCACTGCGCCCTAGTCTCCAGGGCAGCAGAAAACAAGCTTGCTCACTCCTCCCTATGACTTCCTCTCATATATTTATACATAGCTATCATGTCTCCTCTCAGCCTTCTCTTCTGCAGGCTAAACATGCCCAGCTCTTTAAGCCGCTCCTCATAGGGCTTGTTCTCCAGACCCTTGATGTGATGAAGCATCTCACTGGTTCCAAGGTTTCAAAATATATCTAATAAAAGGTTCTTCCATCAATAACAGGCATCTTAAAGAGTTGTCAGGACTCATGTATTTTAGGAATTGAAAAAGCATTTGAAGAAAATTGAAATTATGGATTTCTTGCATAGAAAATGTATATTTTCTGCACATATAAAAACCAAAATACACATTTTGTGGAGAATAAGTACCCAACTACAGCATTGTCTGTATGTAAAACAGTGTCTTCTACACAACTTTCAAACACATTCTTGTATTGGGAAGAACATTTCTAAAACTATTCATTGCTTGAGAACAAAATTAATGATATCAAAGAAACACAGATATCTATAAGAATGACAAAACACAAGTTGCAAATTGTTATCCAAACAAAACTATGTTAACATAAACCGCATTATAATTTGGATAATATTTTGAACTGGATACCAATTTGAACTATTTGGACTGCATTTTGAAGACAGTTTACTTTTTCAAGGACTAGAGATAACAAAGTAGCACTCAGACTTGTAATTACTTTGTGTGGTTTATATGCAGTGTATTTACATGGTTTATGTCAACATAGTTTTGTTTGATAACAATTTGCAACTTGTACTTTAACAAAATTAATGAAGCATTACATCCCCTAAGTTTGGAAGGACTCACTTATTGCCAATACCTGATTTAATGGCAGACAACTGGAATCCACATTTTACATTTTCCACAATGCTAGAACACACAATTTCAAGCAAGAGAAAAGTGACTTGTTATAGAAGATAAAAGTTTCTGTGTGGTAAAGTGACATACTTAATCCTGACTTGGCTTCAACATTACTCCATCTGGACTCCATCTGTGATGTGCTACTTTGTGAACCTTCCTCTTTCCTCACCTTCCAGTTGTAAAATGGCTGGTTCTTCCAGGAACAAGAAGTGTTTTGCCTGGAGCTCCGCCCTTGGGAGGCTTATTAAAGGGGCAGGGGAGACTTAAAGGAAAAGGGGATATCTAGACTGACACCCCCCCCCCCCCCCCCCACACACACACACACACAAAACTTTACACAAAATGCTAATTCCCTTTAATTAAAAGGAGGCTGAAATAGGGGAAACAATGTGGGTTCTTGCAGAGGCACAAACGTTGTTGTTGTTGTTGTTGTTATGGATTATAGAATCATAGAGTTGGAATTGATCTCATGGGCCATCCAGTCCAAACCACTGCCAAGAGGCAGGAAAATTGGATTCAAAGCACCCCCGACAGATGGTCATCCAGCCTCTGTTTAAAAACCTCCAAAGAGGGGAGTCTCCACCACACTCCAGGGCAGAGAGTTCCACTGCTGAACAGCTCTCACATAATGATGATGATGTTAAGAAGAAGAACAACAACACTCAAGCTAGTAGAAGGTCTAACAGTTTGTTTTTGCTCAGGCTACAGGGAAAGAAAAGGCTCCTCTTCTCCTGAGTCCTTTGCTGAATTAATAGATCACAAACTACTTTTGCACCTTGAAATCAAGTTAAGTTTGCAGCAATTGAAGGGGTAAAGTRGGATGATTTTTTAAAAAATGTGTCCAGAGGAGGGCGACTAAAATGATCAAGGGTCTGGAGAACAAGCCCTGTGAGGAGCGGCTTAAAGATCTGGTCATGTTTAGCTTGAAGAAGAGAAGGTGGAGAGGAGACATGATAGCCATGTATAAATATGTGAGAGGAAGTCATGGGGAAGAGGGAGCAAGCTTGTTTTCTGCTTCCCTGGAGACCAGAACGMTGAACAATGGCTTCAAGCTACAAGAAAGAAGATTCCACCTGAACATTAGGGAGAACTTTCTGACTGTGAGAGCTGTTCAGCAGTGGAACTCTCTGCCCCAGGGTGTGGTGGGGGCCACTTCTTTGGAGACTTTTAAACAGAGGCTGGATGGCCATCTGTCCGGGGAGCTTTGAATGCAATTTTCCTGCTTCTTGGCAAGGGGTTGGACTGGATGGCCCACAAGATCTCTTCCAACTCTATGATTCTATCTGAAGTAGGATATAGAGAATTTTATCCTTGAGATTAATTAACTTGTAAGTATGTTTCCTTTTTTATCTGTGATTTCCTCTTCTTATATATACCAGAGTTGCATGCCAATTTTGTTGTTGCATGCCAATAAAGGCTGTGTGAGGATATAGAGGATTAACAGACTATCCCGGCCAAATTAGAACAGTTGGAGGCTTTATGCATAGTTTGTGGTGTTCTTTGAAATCAGCTACCTGGTTTCTTGCACCCGCACACAGCAAAATTTGAAACTTCTTGAGGTTAGTTAATGCAAGATTTCAAAATACATGGGCAAGTCTCCTTTCTGCCTAATTCCTTAATGGAGCTCAAAAACAGCCACTGTACAAGGAAGCATCAGAGCAAAATGATTTCCTGAGTATGTTTTGTCAGATACAGAGCAAATGCTGGTAACTCTCATCACGGTATATTTCCACCATGGTGGTTGAGAATAGATTGCTTGCCTCTGACAACATGCTTCTTGTGAACATCTGTATAATTACAAAGCCCTCCTGCATTCCTAGACACAAACATTGCTAGACAACGGTGATCCATCTAGAAATTGTAGCTTCTTAGGCCTTCCCAAAACAATTTTACAATTGTTAAGCCCCAAAACAATTAAAGGGGCTTTAAAAAGCCTAAGTCAAGCTCCAGGCATATTTTTTCCAGTTGTTGGAAAAGCAATAATAAAAATGGTGAGATTTTCTGACCTTCTGGTGGCTGCTGGTGAATTCCATAGTGAAAGGAGGGCAGGAGGACAAAGTTCAACTAACTGTGAAGGAATCACTTCATCAGTGAGCACAAGTATTACTGGGCAGTCATTATCAATACATTGACAATGAAAAGCAGCCACTAGAAATATTTCAAGAGATAAAAATGCCAAACCAACTTTCTTGAGCATGAACAGAGTAAAATTATACACAGAATCATAGAGTTTGAAGAGACCTCATGGGCTATCCAGTCCAACCCCCTGCCAAGAAGCAGAAAAATTGCATTCAAAGCACCCCTGACATATGGCCTCTGTTTAAAAGCCTCCAAAGAAAGAGCCTCCACCACACTCCAGGGCAGAGAGTTCCACTGCTGAACAGCTCTCACAGTCAGGAAATCCTTCCTAATGTTCAGATGGAATCTCCTTTCCTGTAGTTTGAAGCCATTGTTCCACGTCCTAGTCTCCAGGGCAGCAGAAAACAAGCTTTCTCCTTCCTCCCTATGACTTCACCTCACATATTTATACATGGGTATCATGTCTCCTCTCAGGCTAACCATGCCCAGCTCTTTAAGCCGCTCCTCATAGGGCTTGTTAATAATAATAATTATTATAAACTTTTTTTAAACCCCCCACCATCTCCCCAAGGGACTCGGAGTGGCTTACATGAGGCCAAGCCCAACAGTACATCAATAAACAAAAGCAATAAACAAAAACAATAAATACAATACAATTAATATAAATCACATATAAGCAATAAACAATAAACAGTAACACACAAGGATTTAAAAACCTATGGCTGGGCCAAATGTAATAGTTTAAAAAATTAAAAAATAAATGCTGGGCATGAAGAAGGTAGGATAAAACTGGTATAGGGTTTTCAAAGAGAGATGAGGGAACGCAGTCAATCCTAAACTAGTAGTAAAGTGCATTCTGAGGGCATATTGCTGAGAAATTTCCTTAAATTAAAAAGTTATTGTCTGTTCTCCAGACAATAACTTTTTAAAAAATGTTTCTGGGACAATAACTTTTTAAAAAAAGGTGGAGGTAAATATTCAAAAAAGAAGTCCACGTCCATAGTCTGCATGATACTTCATGCAGGTATAGTGGACTCATTGCTTGAGGGTAAGGTCATCAGTTTGGACATTTTACCCTGGATGTTAAAGAAGAAGATCTAAGGTTTCCAGCAGATAGTTACAGTCACACTAAGTAAATGAAAAAGACAAATGAACCACAATGGCTTTGTTCACCCTGGGGAAATATATGTACAGTTCACCCACCCTATACTGTCCTATCTTTCTAACTCTTTTTACTGTTATCATTATGGAAGAGGAGTCTTGTAGAGTAACTATTCTTCACATCTGAGAAGAAATACATTATTTTACCATAAACAGCCCTTGTTTGCTCAACTGCATCAGTAGAGCTGCTCATTAGCAAAAGTGGAAAGAGCCATAGCTTACCAAAGCTAAATAGGTCTTTAATTGTTCCAATGGGCACATTTTTACACAAAGGTAGAGATGTGTGAAAAAGAATGCAAGTTTGAATCTACAGACTGGAATGCATAGCCAAATACACTCTGAGTCCAGAACCATACATTTCCAACCTTGTGGTGCATTCCCCAAAGAGAAAAGAATGCATTTGATCATATACAAAAACAATTGAATGAAGAATGAA